CAGCTGATCGGTAAGCTGTACACGATGAACCGCTTGTCTTCGAGCACTTGCCCATTCAAAACATCCCGTGAAAACGCGGAGTCTGGTATTAAACTCCAAAGACACAATTACACTAGCAGGAATAGTTCCAGGGAATTGTTCCTCTATTGTAGCTCGCACATCTGTCGTGTAGTCTTGGTGTGGCTCTTGACCAGCTCCGCCAGGTCGAGAGTGCATATAGGAAAAGTCGCAAGATGCACACCTTTCATCGCGGACCAATGCGTCCTCTTGAATAGCTTTAGCAACAATCTGCAGTGTAAACGTCATACGCACCACACGCGACTGACTCCGGAAGGGGTCATCACAAGTGCCGCCAGCTTGCCGAAAAACAGGATTGCTCTTGCGTTAGCTAGTAATACATCTATAGTCGTAGACACCAGTTGAAGACACACCATAGCGTAGCCGGATGATGGAAATCAGGGGCAGTTGCTGTCAATGGCCTCACGCCATAGGTCGTATCCGCACTCGAAGAGTATTTCAACGACAATTGTACCTACACGCTGCGAGCGATGAGGAACATGATCATGTTCGACTTTGGCGTCGACATCAGTACGTCCACAATATTTGACAAGCTGATCGGTAAGCTGTACACGATGAATCAGGTAGCACCGAAACGTACCCATTTATGTCAAATATGTAATGATTAGCCAATTATTGTGTTTTTAATAAGGTGCGAGTTGAGCCGATGACCTGTAGCAACGAAGTAAAAAGACGAAGCGTTTGAAATACGCTAAAGACATTCGGCGCCAAATGAAAGCCGGGGACTTCACCGTGTAAATGATGAAATTAACTTTAACGTCTATTGCTAGCGCACGCAGAAACGGGCGAAGAAGGGTGAGCGAGCGACGGTTATGCTCCCCCTTCGAAGGGAGCAAATCTCCAGACCCAATGTGCCGTTTCAACGGAGGTTGAGTTGGTGCATTTTCGGCTTGAGCGTGGTAGCATCCGAATGGATGTCAATGCCTCGTTCGTTGACAAATCTAAGAGCAGATGAAGGCTACATCAATTTACCATGAGCATTTCGAAGGTAATAAAATGTTATTGGGCTTGATAACTAACGCATCAAAACATAGTCAAACGGGGGATTGCGTGGCAGACCACGACGACATTGTACTTCTTCGCCTGGCGCCATACTTCCCCATGTGCCCTATAGAGGATTGCCTCAGCGTTCTTAAGGCACGGATTAAATCCGACCTTTCGCTGTCGCGCGAAGTATTGGCGGCCCCAAACCCCGCGGCGAGATTACCGAGACGCGCATAAAGATCTTGGAGCGCGAGGCTAAGCGCCACGTTGATTGCGTGGATTTTCGCCTGGTCAACGAGATGGTGCTGCATTGCTAGCACGCTGCGGTGGCGGCGGTCGCGGGGATGACATGCAGTACGGTACTTGGGGGAAATGCGCCAAGGCCTGCTTTGCATTGCGATTTTTCCTTTTTAAATTGTGATTTGTCATGTCAATTTTAAATTATAATTTTCACTTTTGATTTTTTTTTACTCATATTGCTCTGATCTAGCACCGCTTTGGACATGTAACCAGGGATACCGAAAAATAAATAAACTGAAAACGCAATATTTACTGATCGATAAAATAATTTATTTTGCATCCAGAAAGGTCCTGTACCCATAGCTTTTTTTTCAAATTCAAAATTTGTGACTACTTATTTTTCGATCTGCCACCACCAACCAAAAGGATTAGCTGTGATCTCTCACCTCCAACCAAAAGGATTGGTTGTGATCTGCCACGACAATCTAGACAAGTAAGAACTGCCATTTTCAAAACTACATCCCAGCCTACACCCGCACCCACTCCTGCTACGACATGTCCGCCAGTCTCATCGCCTCAAACGCGCCCAGCCAGGCTTTCACGCCGAAGCAAATTGCCGCTTTCTTCTTCAAGCCAGTTCTTGATGAAGAAGACGACCTGACTGGGTATTACGCCTGTAAGGCCTGCGGAAAACGACGCAAGCACGTCGCTAAGAATGGCTACACTAATTTGGTGACGCACGTGCGCATAGCTCACCCTCGGTTCGAGAGCGACATGCGTGATGCCTCCGAAGCTGCTACGGGGACTCTTGTATCTTGGGTGAGCCAAAAAGCCTCCAATCGATACGCATGGCTTAAGTGGATCGTAATAACAAATTGCCCCTTTCCTTTTGCGAGTCAAAGGCAACGCGCCGGTACGTACATAAATTTTAGTCTTACTAAATGTAAAATGGGCTAATTTAATTTGATCAATTTGTGACAGGTACTCTAATTTGGCGAATGTGTCTGTAGACGCACTGCTTACCAACATGGAAGGTGTCACGAAGGTCGTAGAAACAACGATCGGACGCGATATGCCCAGTGACTTTGGACTCATACTCGACGACTGCAGCTTCGGGACCGAGCAATACCTGGGCGTTTACGCGTGCTGCGAAACCTCTAGCGGCCCACAATACCCTCTGTTATCCATCGCTCCCGTTATGGATGAGCCGGACGACAGCCTAACCGCAGAGGGCCATTTAAGGGCTATCGACCGTTTTTTGCCATTTTTTGGTAAAACCATTCAAGGTGTAAGATTCTAAGTCGGTGACAACTGCGCAGTCGATAAGCGGCTCGCAAACCTCATGGAGGTGCCGCTTGTTGGCTGCGCCAGTCATAGATTAAATCTTGCTGTGCGTGATTTCCTCCGTCCCTATCCTCGAAGAAGTGCAACTGCTGATGCGCAAGCTACGACTCTGAACCAAGCAGCAAAATTGAGGTACGCTAATTTTGTGGTTTGTGATTTAAGTATCGCAAAAATGTTTTCATAATTGTATTGGACTAAAAATTTGTTTTACGTTTTTAAATAGACTCAAAACTCCATTGGTTGCGGTCCTGCGTCAAGATACGCGCTGGTCATCGACGTTCACGATGCTGGATCGTTATGCTCGCTTGCGAGAGTTTCTATCTGCCGACGACGACGATATTGCGGACCTGCTGCCGTCCAGATCTTCCCATCGCCGGCTAGAGGACTTGCTGGCTAAGCTACGTTGCGTGGAGTCGATTTCGAAGAAATTACAGTCGGACACTCTCACACTTTTGGACGCTCGGGATTTGTTTGATGGATTGCTGGAGGAGCGACCGTCATTTCGCAATTATCTGTGTAAGTGCTTGTACTGGTATTCCTTATTTTACTTATGTATTAACTAACGTATGGAACAAATTACGTTTTTTTATTTACAGCTCCTTACGCCAACATCGTGCACTCACCGGCTTTTGAAGCTGCTGTAGTCAAAGTGCTCGCCGGTGAGGCAGCGATATGACTTTGGAGGAGTCAGCGCAACTGAAGCCATTTGAAGTTCCTGCACCGACTCGCGAAGTGGTGGCCTCTACCGGGACGGACGGATTTGCTGACAGCATTTTAGAGCGTCGCAAAATTGCAGCAGAGCAGTCGACGTACAAGTTGGTTTCTGCTATACCTCCGACGTCCAATAAAGTCGAAAGGCTATTCAGCGTCGCCCGTGGTGTTTTACGCCACCAACGACGCCGCTTGTCGCCCATGACTTTGGAAATGATACTTTTCATGAAAGTCAACGCGATCTATTGGGACGTATCAACAGTAGAGGCTAGTCTTTAAGTCGTTCCTTTAATACAGTCCAGTTTTGACTTGATTGCAGTATTTTATTTTACAATGTGCTCGTTTTTCAGTTATTTTTTTTCCTGCAACAGCAGCCTCAATCAGTTATGTATTTGACAGTAATACTTCCAGCAGCTTTATATTGTATTTACGGAATCCCTGCATGTAACCACTTGCAATGGAATTTCGTTTTCTAGGCGGATGGAACGGCACAGTCGTTAATTTTTTGCACGTCGGCAATGGAATTTCACTTTCTAGGCTGATGGAACAGCACAGTTGTTAATTTTTTGCATGGTTGATACAATAGTTTCCCCACAGGTTTTGTGAAATATCTCAGCTGTAACTGAATATTTCTCTGCGTTTCCTAATTAGCGGAAAAATTCAGTTTTTCAGCTTTTTAACGATAGGGTCTTATTGGTCGATTCAGGGGATGATTTCATAATTACAAGGGCCACAAAACTTCCCGACCGACCAGCCTTACAAAAAGTTTGTGTTCTTTTAACAGCGAAGTGAAAAAACGGATTTCAGGACTATCGGTAAAAATGGTAGCGGAAAATTGTGTAATAGTTTCCCACAAAAATACGGCATGCCTTCTGGATCAATAGCCGTAGCTTACGGTGCGCGATGATCCACTGTCGGCCAATGCGCCGCACACAAGAAAGGATCCGTCTGGTACAAAATGACACCGGCATTCCCCGCCATGGGCTCCCAGGTCTCAAGCGCATATCTGCGACTCCATTTGCGAAACTTCTGCTGGCGTTGCTCTTTCGCGCAATTGTCATCTGGGTAATAATCCATCGCCTCGTACACAAAGTTCGCTGCACCCCATAGCACGTTGCTAGTAGCTGGCTCGCCTTTGGCCGTCGTACCAATGAAGAACGCGTCCCCACTCGCGTTCACAGACATAGAGAGCCCATTCTCCAATTTATTTCCGATGTAAATCGCCATGGCATTTAGCTCTCCGCGGACGCCCCTGCAGTTCAACATATCGTTTATCTCGTCGACCCCGAAGCCGAAGCCAAACTGGCGGTTAAATTCCTTGGTAAATGGAGGGAACGCATTCTGACGAGGATCCACATAGAGAACGCCGCTACTGAAGCCCATAAGTTCTCGTAGGAACGGCATTTCTGTAAGTTCCTTCATGCCGTCAGTCTGGCTGTAGCCAAGACGTTCTCGGATGTATCTTATGTGAAGTGTGGAGGAGGAGCCAGGACTGCGTCCAGCTCAAACCTGAGGCTCAGGTGCCTCCAGGACGCGATGCTCGCGTCCAGAAGCCGGACTTCGACGGACCATTGGCTGGCGAGCCGCCAGCCCCATCCTACTGCTAATCCTACCAATATATGTTACCGGGGTTTTTCCGTGTGCTGCTACACACTCGACAACTTGCGCCGTCAAGAGCAAGCAGCAGCACTCGGTTTTCTCCCCTGCTGGACTTTCAGTCCCTGCAACTTACTGTTGTTACGACTACTTCCTTCATCACAATGGTCACCACTCGGCGTAGCCGAGGAGCGACCATCACTCAGGTTATGAGCCCAAGAAGAAGAGCTGGAAGCCCAGTCCCGAGTACGCAGAGCTCGCGCGCGTCCGACGAGTTGCAGTTGCGTGCAAGAGCAGACGAGACAACGTCAGACGAGGCACATGCGACGTCACAAGCGTCATCAACCCGAGTTGAGCAACAACTCGAGCTCTTATTGGCCCAATTCGGTACCGTTATGACTACACTGACAAATCAGCAGCAAGTGCAGAACATTCCAGTGGAAGCATCCACCCGACGCCCACAAAGGCAGCTCATTCAAGAACTCTCAGCGGCTCGAGCACAACCGCAGCGAGTGCCGACGCCGTACGGGCCCCGCCGAGGAAACCCAAGCACAGAGGAACTTACCGCCGACGCCAGCACGCGTCAGAGCGAGCCGCCAAGAAACCCAAGAACGTCCGAGGCTGCAGCGCAGCCAGTCCAGACCGAGGCCGGGACCGACTCCGCTACGGACGAACCCATGGTTGGAGACCACAGATGCACGCGGTGCATGAACCAGAGCGGACACGTGCAGTTGAACGCAAGACTTACCGATACCAACTACCAGACGTGGCGCGTCGAGATTTGCTCCATTCTCGACGTCGCACACCTCTTGGACCCCATCATGGAGCGCGAAACGATGGCAGACCAACGTAACGAAGGACAGCGCGGCTGTTTCAAGCAACGACTGCGTGTTGCTCAACGTGAACTTACGATGGGACTTAGTCAAGAGCTACAGATGCGATTTACAAGTGTTATTCAACGTGCTGATCCTATCCTACTGTGGCGAACACTGGAAGATCATTTTGATAACCATCCTGGAGTAAACAGCGTGTTTCTCAAGCGAGATATGCTGAATCGTCGCCTGCAACGTGACGAACGACTTGACGATTACATTCGTGACATCGACGACTACCAACAGAGACTTCGCCGTGCGAACAAGCAGCTGCTTGAGCAGGAAGCCGTCTCTCTCCTATTTTCGAATACAGTGGGTGTGTACCCAGCGGTGGTAAACGAACATGAAGTACGTATTGGACGTGATGAGTCCATTACGTGGGAGCAAGCGATAGAGCGCCTTCGACTCGCTGACCACTCACGCCAAGAGACTGAACTACAGCAAGGACGTGGTGGAGGTGGACGTGCCGTCCAGCGAGATGCTGCATTTGTTGGTGGCCGTGGCGACGGACACAACGACGGAAGAGGACGTCGAAACTCGAGCAGCAGCCAAGCACGAGGCAACAACAACCGAAACAATCGTCGCAGCCGCAGCTCATCGCCGCGTGGGCGGAACAAGCGGCAGAAGAGCAAGAGCTCATCCAGTGCGAGGGATGACATCGCCAAGCAAAAGGCGAAGACGAAGTGCAACACGTGCGGAGAGCAAGGACATTGGAGTGGCGATCCTGAGTGCCGCCAGCGTGGCAACAATAACAACAACAACAACTCGAGCAACTTGCCGCGCAGGATGATCGATGTGGTTACTGTGAAGACATCCAAGTCGGCTGCACCGACTCAAGCTGAAGGACAAGAGCATGTACTCGCGGTGCGTGACAACTTCAACTACAAGGACAAGGACAAGGACCAGGACATGGTGGAGTGGGTGTTGGATAGCGGCGCGCAGACCAATGTCTCGAGCGACCTTACCTTGTTTACGGAGCTACATGAAGACTCAGTTGCAGAGTTAGTCTTCGGCAACGGCACAACCGAGCGCGCAACTGTGGGCACAGTGCTTATGCAAGTGCTGAACGAGCACACGGGCAAGATCGAGGAGCGCCTCCTTGATGACGTGAGCTACGCCAAGTCGGCTGCCTACAACCTGATCTCGCAGACCTACATGCAATTCAAAGGAAACTTCAAGGTGCGCGTCTCGCATGATCAGAAGACTACGTGGCTGGTCAAGGACACATTGAAGCTGCGCTTCAAGTACATCCGCGGGATGTACCGCATGTGGACGCCACGTCAGAGCAAGAACGTGATGAGCGTCAAGGCCAGTGAAGCTGAGAGCCCCATGACGTTGCTGCGCAACCGCATGGGCCACGTAAACATGGAGACTATCAAGACTATGGCAGGAACCTATAACTTTGGCATCAACATGCAGTCGAAGAATTTTGCTCTCTATGAATGCATTCCATGCTTAGAGTCAAAGACGAAGCGCATGAGCTACAAGCGCAAGCCGTCTCGCTCTGCAAAGCCCTTGCACAAGCTTTGTGTCGACCTATGCAGTGTTGGAGTGGATACAATATCGAAATCAAACCAGTTTATCGACGAAGCTACGAGATACAAGTGGGGATATCTATTAGCCTACAAAGACGAAGCCACGGAGCTGATTCAGAAGCAGATTCGCTGGATCCAGAACCAGTTCCCGAAGGCGACCATCAAGACGCTGTTCTCCGATGGTGGTGGCGAGTTCGTCAACATGCAGCTCGAGACCTTCTGCAAGGACCTCGGCATCGACACGCGTTCATCCAATCCCTACAGCCCGCAGGAGAACGCTATCGTGGAGCGCACGAACCAGACCGTCATGCGGCAGGTCAGATCTACGTTACAAGCTACGCAAATGTCTGTTTCATTATGGGGAGAAGCCTTCCTACATGCAAATGAGACGCTCAACAAGACGCCGACGCCGGTGTTGAAGGACCAGCAGTCCCCGTACGAGGCCCTGTACGGAGAGCGGCCAGACCTCAGCGTGCTGCGCACGTGGGGGTGCTTGGTGCACGCGCACATCCCTGATGATTCTCGGCAGAGAAAGGAGAAGCTCACTCCAAGGACGCAGATGTGCTTACTACTTGGCTACAGCGAGAAGACCAAGGGCTATAAGCTGCTGAACCTGCGCACAGGATCAGTGACGACGTGCAGAGATGGAAACATGAAGGCACATGAGAAGTACACGGTGAACACTGTGTATATTGAGCAACTTCTTGCAAACACCTACGCTTACGGAGACTACGACTTACCTGCGGAGATCCCGATCGTGCCGATCCGGACGACAATGTCTACGTACCTGCAGCTTCCTGCAGAGCTTGCAGAAAAACGAGCAGCGGAGATGGCGAAGCTGGCCACTGCTGGTGAGAGCCATGACCAAGGTGTTGAAGTTGAAGCCGAGTCTGCGACTCGAAGTGATGACCCACAGCTACCAAGCGAGGACGCTAAGAAGCCAGCAGCTTCAGTGGGAGGTTCCAAGCGGAAGAACACTAAAGGCAAGAATAAAGCGAAAGCATGTGCAAATCGAGTGGGAGCCTCGAAGGCCAAGGACAGTCGACGTGATGCTCACGAAGACGAGAACTGGGAGCCATGCACGACGCAGAAGTCGTCGCCAGACGACAGTGCAGCTACGTCGCGACCGAAGCGGAAGCGACAACCATCCGCCCGACTCAAGGACAACGTAGTGACGAATGTGACGAAGCAGAACGTCGAGGATGTGCAGATCCCCATTAGTCACAAGCATGCGGCAAGGTCAAAGAAGTGGAAGGAGTGGAAAGCAGCGATGCAAGTTGAGATGGACTCACAGCAGCAGCACGAAACTTGGGTGCTCGTGCGACGCACGGAGGCCAAGGGCAAGCGTGTCATTTCGTGCAAGTGGGTGTACGCGCTCAAGAGAGACTCTACGGGCCGGATTAAGCGATATAAAGCTCGACTAGTGATCAGAGGCTTTCTACAACGCATGGGCATCGACTACAGTGAAACATACGCACCTGTTATCAGATTTGAGACGATCAGATGCGTGATCGTATACGCGCTGCAACGCGGATGGGCCATCTTGCAGCTCGACGTCAAGACCGCGTTCTTGTACGGTGACCTCGACGAGGAGGTCTACATGGAGCAGCCTCCAGGCTTCGGAGAAGACTCTACGCGCTATGTATGCAAGCTACAGAAGAGTTTGTATGGGCTAAAGCAAGCGCCTCGCGTTTGGAACAAGACATTGCACAAGTTCCTGACGAAGATCGGACTCGAGCGCCTCGACTCTGACTACGGACTCTACGCCAGGAAAGTGGGAGGAGAAGTCACCATGTTGCTCACGGTGTACGTCGACGACCTACTGCTCCTCGGCCCTAATGACCTTTGCGCTAAGGTTGCTAAGCAACTCAGTGAGGAGTATGAACTCACATCTCTCGGACCAGTCAAGTATCTACTAGGCGTGGAGATACTGATCGACAGCGAGCGTCGACATGCGGTATTTTGCCAGCGGCAACATATTACGGAGGTGCTAAAGCGATTTCACATGGAGGGTTGCAACGCGGTTGCAACACCGGAAGCGCTGCGCGCTGAGGTGGTCACAGATGCGAAAGATGACTCCCCGCCCCCGTACCGAGAGCTCGTTGGTGCACTACAATATCTGGTCTCAGCCTCAAGGCCGGACATTGCGCACGCTGTGCGTAATCTCAGCAAGTACCTGTCCTGCTTCGACCACACACACTAACCCTATGGAAAGAGGGTGCTACGCTAACTGAGTGGTACTCAAGCACAACGGCTTAGTGATGACAATGTTTATTGGGAAACGACCTCCAGCTGAACGTGTTTACACCGATGCTGAACTACGCTAAAGGACCCTGATGACCGAAAGAGTGATAGCGGGTTTCGTGACGTTTCGTTCAAATGGTAACGTGGTTTCGTACGGATCAAGAAAGCAAGAGAT